CACATCCAGCAAGCAAAAATTAACAAGTGAAAACACAGGAGAGCATCAATGACGTGTCAGGAAAGATGTATGGACCTTTTCTGGTTCTGTTTTAATTATCATACACAGAGCATCCCTGAATGGCTGCCTCAGATAGGTCACTGAAACAGTTCTTTTGCATCTTCTATCTTTCCCCTGACGGACTTTTCATCCATTGGAATGAATTAGATTGGAATTTTAAAATGCAAGACTTAGTCTAGCCCTTGAAATCTCCCATGTATTTGGGTAATTACTATACCAATAATACAAACATATGTTAGTGCAGTCCTTTACCTAAAAGGCTGCCAAGTCTCAATGAATTCCCCTTCTGGCTTCTAATATTCTGAGAAAACAAAGCAAATCATGCAAAAAGTAAAAATAAGATATTTTTGGTTCTTGGTGAGATTACAGTTCAGGGGCCTTTATTGTTTGTTTTTTTTAATGTGGGAAGCATGACTTTTTATCCAGCCTTTAAGAAACCAGCATTGTTCTTTATCTACTGATGTGGTATTCCAAAAGAGAATCTCTCCCTTGGTTAAAAACAGCCAAATATCAAGAAGCAAGTGACTTATGGGATGGTTCTTTGTTGGTGCTAAGTCTTCGAAAAATTCTAGCTCAAGAGCTGGGAGAAGAAATAGGTGACCCAGTGGCCCATCAAACTAGAGGTACACGTGAGGATCTCTGCCTCTGATCATTTTCTAAGTGTGCTATACTAGGTCCAGGGATCCAAAGAGCACTACCTACCTGAATAAAGAAAGCCCACATTATCTGGGGTAAATCTGACGTGCACAGCGAGATGTTATTCACAGCTTCACGATCAGATTCTCTTCAGATCTTCGTAGTCTGGTCTTACAAGCTGAGTTACTTAGGGCCTCAGAAAGCAGGTCTTAAAAGCAGTTACTTACTAACTGCCAAAATGTTCTGTTCCTCAGGAAGTGATTAGAACAAAGTACGGAGGTACTGAAACATTTATGGAGTTTTACCTACCGTATTGTCTTGGAGGGCTAGCGATAAAATTAATATACATGTCCACACCGCATAATAGCACAGTGGGATTTTTCAAAGGTCCAAAGTTGAATGTTTTTCAGATATAGTGTGGTTTGCTAATAATGTCTTGCCGTTTTTAAATGCTTTCAGCTTTCACTGGCCTTGGCTCACTAAGGCTCGTGCCCATTGAGTTCACTGACTCTGCCAACCCAGTCTGACCTCTTGTCTTCCCTGACCCTCTAGACTGAGTACCCCAGTAGGTGGGTGGGTGGAGGGGTGGGAAGGGGGATGGGTAGATGCAAGGCGGGGGTGGATGGGCAGGAGGATAGGAGGAAGAGGGGTGGGCAGGTGGGTAAATGTTAGCAGGAGGGTGAGGGTGGGGGGGTGGATGGGTTGGTGAGTGAATGAGTCTTGGTCGTCTCCGGAGTACACAGGGCCTTGAAGTCACTGAGATACCTTGGGCGGTTGGGTGGGGATCTGATGAGGAGATGAAGCTGGAAAAGTGGGTGGAAGATGAGACTGCTGCACACCCCTCCTCAGCTTTCCTTCTTGAGCAGATGCTATACAGCATTCATAGCCTCCTTGGCTAATATCTTTGGAACCTGGAAGGAAGATGGAATCAGAAGATGGAATTGGAAGGTGGTGTGACTGAAGTGTCCTCTGGTGGCCATAGGGGATTTGACAGTATTCTTAGCTATTTTTTTCATTGTCTGTTCTCCCCTCCCCCACTCCACACCCCCAGGCTCCCACAGAGCCCGGCTAGAATATAAACTCCATGAGGACAGGGCTTCTTCACTGTTTACTCATTGTTGTATATCCAGTGTCTAGAATAGTGCCTGGCACGTAGTAGACATTCAACAAATACTTATTTTTGAATCCTGCTTCACCATTTTATTGATCTATGACCCTGAGCAGCATTCTTAACTTCCTAAAGCCTCAGTTTCCTCATGAGTCAAATGGAGACGCTAACATCCCTGCCCCCACCAGCATTAACTGAGAAAGAGACCCACGCGCGCTGAGCAGGAGCCCTCAGTCACATGTGTGTTCCCTTCTCACCCACCAGCTGGCGGTGATGATGCGTTACATGCTGACCTGATTTGCACCTGATTCGAGGGGCACATTTGCTCTAATGGGCATGGGCTTTATACTGCATGTGGGGCAGCCTGGGGAAATCGTCCAAGCCTAGTCCTAGGCGGGTCAGGCAAGAAGGCAGTGTAGCCAGATAGACACCAGGTGAAATGGGAGATTCCTCTCCTGCCACTCACCCCGTTTCCCCACCCTCACAGCCACACCCAACTCTTCCACTGCGCTGAACCCATCAGGCTCCATCTGCCCTCTGAGCTTTTGCAGATGCTGTTTCCCTTGCCTACCTTCCCTTCTTGCCAACCCATTGCCGTGACCCCCATTCAAGCCCTCTGAGTGGCCACATCAGCCTCCTCTTGGTCTGCCTGCAGCCACCCCGGCCCCCGCAAATAGATCTTCCCGCAAATATGCTTATCTCACTTTCCAGCTTCAATCTGACTGTTCTCGGGACAGAGTCCAAGTCCTCTGACCTACCATTTTGTGGTCTGGACCCAGCCCAGCATCTAGTCATCTCGCCTCTCCTGATCCCAGCTTCAAATCTTACACCAAACAATCCTAGCCATTTCCCACTCCTGAACCTTTGCCCACACAGTCTCCTCTGCCTAGAAATCCATCCCCTGCAAGGAGGGCATGGATTGCTTTTGCCTGCCCAGGATCCATTTTCTTTTCCACTGGTGAGGGAATCCCCACCCAGGGCTCGAATCTGGGATCTTCCTGTAGGGCTGGTTCACTTCTGTGATCAAGGGTGAGCTGGAGACTCAGCCTGGCAGCTTGCTTTTTCCTTTTTTAATTGGGATGCTGTGGGTGCAGCCTGCATTCTCCAGTTGGCTACATGGGCCCCTATGTCTTATTCTAGCCTCCCCCATCTGTCACATCTGCTTGAGTCCTAGAGGCATTTGAGTTTGAGACTCCTGGTACACACCTCCCTTCTGCCTCTACTAGGCTCTGATTCCCTCCTAGATCCCCAAGGTTTTGCCTTTCAGTTCCCTGCTCTTCCTGGGCCCCCACTTCCCTGTCCTGTCCTGACACCCAGAAGTGCCCCTAGTTCTCTGAAGTTTCAGTTAATTCCCCTTCAGATCTGAGGAGCTGGGACTCAGAGATCTAAATTCCCTGGAGCAGGGAAGGCTGCCTAGCTGAGCGTGTCCATGTTTTCCCTGGAAAAAGGACAGGAGGGCCCCGAGATGGAGGTGTGTATTACAGAGCACAGGTACAGCCCCAGGTGGCATCTCTGGGCTGTGTCCTGTGAGAATGGCCCCTTCAGTTCAGGACATCACCAAACGCAGTGTCCACTTCTGCCCAGCGTTGTTGTGGGGTTTTTGTTTGTTTTGTTTTGGCTGCACCAGGGATTGAACCCAGGCCCTCAGCAGTGAAAGCACGGAGTCCAGGGTGCTCCTCCGCGTATGTTTGGTGCTTGAAGGGTGAAGGTCTTGGTCGGTCTGGAGCTTTCACATCTGAGGTAGCTCATCTGCCCCTGGCCCATCGCTGGTCTCCAAGGTTGAGAAAGGAGCAAAGGGGTAGAATAGCTCCCTCAGGGCAGACTGGCACCCCCAGACTCCCCCTGAAGAAGGAACCTCTGTGGATAAGACCCATTTTTCTCTCCTCCTGGCAAAGGGCAGAGGAAAGAGTAGGTTCTGGGAGGGGAGAGGCAGCTCCAGACTGGAGCCCTTCCAGGAGGAGTCACCTTGGGGACCACCTTCACCCTTGGGAGCCCTCATGCTCTGGTTCCTCCCAGATCCACCCAGAAGGGTTAGAGAGAGGCGAACCCTAGGCTTGGGGTGAGGGTAGGAGGGGCCACACAGGTGGGCAAGACCTCAGGGGTGTGTGTGTGTGTATGCATATTTGGGGGACTGCATTTAGACCCACTGCTTAGACTTCTGAGTCCTGACTCAACATGGAAGGAAGTTTGACGTCTGAACACGGACTCCCACCACCCTCCCTTACTCCCTAACTGACCTTGGCTCTGGCCCCAGCTGCTCTGTACCTCTCCCAACTAATGATACCCCATGGAACCAAATCCTAAAGGGCCTTCAGCACCCAATGGGGGTCTCATTTTGGGAGGGATGCGTGATGGAGTCTGTTTGGGAGCCCAGGAGTGAGGAATCAGCAGGTTTCTCACCTCCAACCAAAAAGGTGGTAACAGCAGCCACAGGCAAGAGGTGAAATACTGAGTAACCAGTACAACATGGGCATCGACCAAGTGTAATGTTCCAGCTGAGCATCAAAACGGGTATCACATATCCTCACATATAAGATGCCATTGATTGTAAAACACACATACTATTATTACTCAAAAAGAAAATTGTCAAACCAGTGCTTTCTTATCACTTACAATTTCTATTTTATACTTGTTGAAGGAGTTCTTTTCCACATAGATCGTTATCATGTTCGATCTACAAGCCACAGGCACAGGCCACACGGCTACGTGACAACCAATGCCTGGCTGACAGTGACCATTAGACACCCTTGACTACACCATTTGTTCCCACACACCAAATATGACTTCAGTGTGTGTGGGGAAAAAAGTGCTTCTTAGAACAGGTGAATGATGGTAATTTCTTTTCTTTTTAATAACTTTATTTATTTTATTTATTTATTTTTGGCTACTTTGGTTCTTTCTTGCTGTGCGCGGCTTTCTCTAGTTGCGGCGAGTGGGGGCTACTCTTTGTTGCGGTGCGCGGGCTTCTAATTGCAGTGGCTTCTATTGTTGTGGAGCACGGGCTCTAGGCCCGCGGGCTTCAGTAGTTGTGGCACGTGGGCTCAGTAGTTGTGGCTCGCAGGCTCTAGAGCACAGGCTCAGTAGTTGTGGAGCACGGGCTTAGTTGCCCCGTGGCATGTGGGACCAGGACTCAAACCTGTGTCCCCTGCGTTGGCAGGTGGATTCTTAACCACTGTGCCACCAGGGAAGCCCAATAATGGTAATTTCTAACATTTACTAAGCACTTACTCTGCGTTAATTATCATCCAAAGAAATCCATAAGGTTGGCTAGACCCATTTTACAGATTAGGAAACTGAGGTGAGCAGAGGTGAAGTCAGTCCTTCGAGGTCCCACAAGCAGTACATGACAGAGTGGGACTTTAGCCCAGGCTAACTTGAGAGTGTTCTGTTGGCCACTGGACTTAAAGAAGTGAAATCGTGAGAGTTGCATGAAACCGTGTTATCCCACTGCCAGTGTAGCCTCCTTGGCTTCAGGAGCGGCGGGCGTAGGGCACTGGAGTGGCCCCTTCGGCAAACAGTTTGAGGGAGAAATCGAGGGCCGGGGCAGCCTGGGTCAGCATCCCCAAAGAGATGACATCGATATGGGGCCCACAGAACTGAGGGAGGCTGTCCAGCGTGATGCCCCCGCTCGCCTCCACGCCCACGTTCGGGAACCGGGCCTTCAGCGCCGCGGCCGTGGGGTGCAGCTCCTGTGGGACACAAGCCAGCGAGAGGTGAAAGCCCCCGCCCCAGCCCCTTCCCCTTCCCAGGAAGCAGACGCCGCCTCACCTCAGGCCTGAAGTTGTCCAGCATGACGAGGTCTGCTCCTGCCTCGGCCGCCTCCGCAGCCTCCTGCAGGCTGCTGCACTCGACCTCCACCTTCAGGGAGAAGTCGGCCGCCTGCCGGGCCCCCCTCACCGCCTGTCAGGTGGCAGGGGTGAGAGTGAGAACGGGTGGCAGCCAGCCCTGGGCAAGTGAGCTGGGACTGGCATTCGAGAGGCTCCAGATGGATAACGAGCTTGGGGTTAATGAGGAAACCAGGCATCGAAATGGCTTCTCGCATATTAGGTGAAACCACATGAAATTACCACTTTTGTGGGTTAAGAAAATGGCCAAATCCAGCACTATTTGGCACTGGGACGTGAGTTCAATTGACTCAGAACATTAAGACTGGAAAGGGTCTTCAAGAACATTTTCATAGACAGGAAACAGGTCCAGGGAGCTAGAGTGACCTGCCCAACACTGGGTTCCCAGTAGTTCGTCCTTTTCCCTTGAATATCATACCGACCAGCAGAAGAACGCTGGTGAAGAAGCAAGTCCAACCGTTCATGTTACAGATGGAACCACTGAGGGGTCAAGGAGTCTTGCATGCCCCAACTCCCAGGCCATCACTATTTACCAGGGAGTGGTTGGGGGTCCCTGGTAGAGGGGAAGGGCAATGCTGGCAGGGTGGCTGGAGCAGGGCCAGGGCAGGGGCTCAGCTGGACAGACAGACACCTTTTCCACACCACCAGCTGCCACGACGTGGTTGTCCTTCACCATCACCAGCCCTCCCAAGTCGTAGCGGTGGGAGGCGGCCCCGCCCACTAGAAGCCCATACTTCTCCACCAGCCGGAAGCCTGGCGTCGTCTTCCTCGTGCCTGCCACGTGCCCGGCCCAGCCGGTCCCCCTGGCGGTCTCCACAGCAGCAGCGGCAGCGCTGGCAACTCCACTGCAGCGGGCCAACATATTAAGGGCCACCCGCTCCCCCAGCAGCAGGTAGTGGGCAGGGCCCCGGACCTCGGCCACCTTGGCCACAGGCACCAGTTTTGATCCCTCGGGGAGGAACCAAGAGACCTGGCAGTTGACTTGGGCAAAGATGGCATCAAAGAAGGGCCTCCCAGCCAGCACTCCGGGGGACTTGGCCCACAGCACCGCCTGTGAGGAGGCTGCCCCCGTGACCAAGGCCATGTGGTTGAGGCCTGGGCAGTCCTCTCGAAGCCAGCTTTCTGCCAAGGTGGCTAGAGTGGCAGGGGGCAGCAGGAGTGCCAAGCCTAGGAGGGAAAAAAAGAGAGCAGTGTTACATTTTAGCTGCCTTTCTGGTAGTCAGGGGTGATTGTCAAAATACCTAACAACAGGCTGAATTGGGCACTAGCCAATCAGGGTGAAGACCTGGGGGTTCCAGGAGAGGGGCTGAGGCACTGGGTGGGCCTTGTGAGCTGAACAAGGTTGTCAGTTGACCAAATAAAAATATAGGACACCTAGTTAAAGTTAAATTTCTGACAAACATCAAAGCTTTTTTAGTATAAATATATTCTAGGCTATATTTAGAACATACTTATTCTTAAAATTATCTGTCAGTTATCTGAAATTCAAATTTAACCGAGTGCCCTGTAATTTATCTGGTAAACCTAGTGCTAGACCAACAGCTATTCACCAGTGGAAGAGAAATGCAGCCACCTAAAAGCCACTCTGGGCTTCCCTGATGGCGCAGTGGTTAAGAATCTGCCTGCCAATGCAGGAGACACGAGCCCTGGTCCGGGAAGATTCCCACATGCTGTGGGGCAACTAAGCCCGTGCACCACAACTACTGAGCCTGAGCTCTAGAGCCCACGAGCCATAACTACTGAGCCCATGCACCACAACTACTGAACCTGTGCGCCTAGAGCGCATGCTCCACAACAAAAGAAGCCACTGCAATGAGAAGCCTGCGCACTACAATGAAGAGTAGCCCCCGCTCGTCACATCTAGAGAAAGCCCGCGCGCAGCAAGGAAGACAGTATGTCTGTATGCAGACAATACATACATACATATATACATAAATAAATAAAATTTATTTTAAAACGAATAAAAAATAAATTTAAAAAGCCACTCTTGACTTTCCGTCTGCCTTGCATAGAAGGATCGGTTATTTACTAGCTGAAGCCCCCAGGAGAATATAAGCTGTGTGTCTTTCCCATTCCTGCCTTCTCTATAGCACCAAGAATTTTAAAGCTGGAAGTTCAGCTTTTTACAGATGTGGAGACTGAGGACCAGATAAGAAAGGCAAGTCAGCTGAGGTCGCACAGCATATTGACAGCAGAGCGAGACTGGCCAGGCCTTGTGGCCATGGCCATCTGTTCCTCCACCTTTGCCCCCTAGCTTGAAAACCTCTCCTTCACCTGATGTTTAAAAAAACTGTCACCTCTCTAGAGATGGGGTTGTATAAGGAGGAAAGAGCACGGGGAAATTCGGTTTGAGCCCCTGCTCTGCGAGACAGAGCTTCAGGAGTGTGGGTGAGCCCTTTGCCTGTAAAATAAGTGTTAAGGACGAGGTGGTCTCTGAGGTCCTTCCCGCTGGCGTGCCACGTTGATTGGCCGCCGCCTCTGTTGAAATGAATGGGGTGACCGCAGAGGCCGAGCTCAGGCGCAGTGCAACATCGCCATCTGTCGGCCAAGAGAAGACCTGCAGTCTCGTGGGCGGTGCCATAGGTGGGCTTCGCTGCCCGGGGGAGGGGTAGACAATTCGATAGCCTGTGAAGGGGTATTATTTAGTTTAGTTTTGTTTCCCCCACTTTTGCTCCAAGCTGAAGTTAAGGCCAGACATTCTGGCTTGCTCTACTCGCAGAAGGAGGGCCCTTCTTGTCCAGCCCTTCTTCCCCAAAGACAAGAGCCTGTCCCCCACCAGCAGCCACAGACCTCAGTTATCGCACCTGACCCTCCTCCCCAAAGTTCCCGCCCACAGCTGCCCCACGTGGCTTTCATTCTCACTCAGAGCCAGCTGTGGGCCAGATGCAAAGAACAAAGTCGGTGATAGAGAGAAAAATATAGTCCCTGCCTCCACCGTTCGCGGTCGCACCAGGCAAAAGGCCAGTGAACGAACAGCAGAGATGGATGCAAAGGCCCCCACTCCATTCAGACCAGGTGCCGTGATGTTTGCTTTTTTTTTAAAATTTTTATTGGAGTATATTTGATTCACATGTTGTGTGAGTTTCAGGTGTACAGCAAAGTGAATCAGTTATACATATACATATATCCACTCTTCTTTTTTTTTTAGATTCACTGTTTGCTTTTAAAGTGAATTTGAATCCTTGGACTGGTGAGTATTGGATAAACAAACTGTGATGCATGTTTACAATGGAATTCTACTCGGCAATAAAAAGAAAAGGAACCAACTACTGATATACCCAATAGGCACACATCTCAAATGTATTATTCTATGAAGCCAGATTCAAAAGGTGACATGCTATTTGTGTCCATCTATATGACTATATTCTGGAAAAGGAAAAAAAAAAAGATAGCAACAGAGAACAGGCCAGTGGCTGCCTGGGGAGGGGGGAGCGGAGGGGCTGGCCGCAAAGGGGGCAGCACCAAGTTTTGGGATGTGATTGAACTAGTCTAGATCTTGTCTGTGATGGTGGCTATAACACTGATGCCTTTGTCAAGACTTATAGAGCTTTACACAGAAAAGGGTGAATTTTACTGTCTGTGGTTATACCTCATTAAACCTGACTTTAAAATCAAACCATAAAAAACGGAAATTTAAGCGCATCACTCTCCTGCTTAAAGCCTCACTTTCATTGTATTAGCACCAGCTCTCTTGACTTCTTTCCATTTTTCGTTGATTCTTTGGACAAATCCTTGTTGAGCACCTGCTCTGTGCCAGGTCTTCATTGCTAGGTGACAGAGAGAGCAGCTCTTTCTCTTAGCTTTCAGGCCTTCACTTTTGCTGTTCCAAGGCTGAGCCTTCTGCTAGAAGTCCCTTTCCTCACCCTCACCCCAAACTGCCCCTTCACCTCTCACTCAACTTCAGACCTTCTGTTAGATATCACTTCCTCAGCCGGGTGCTCTCACAGACCTCCTAAATCAGGTCACATGCTCACCCAGCTCCTTGTTCATCCCCCAATGTCATCCTCCGCTGGTGTTTTCTGTCTGGGACCAAAATGTCCACTGAGTTGTCTGCTGTATCCCAAGTGCCTAGCACGCTGACCCAGACAAAGACAAATGTGCTGCTTGTATAGGTCAACGGTCAAATATTGGCAATTTCATATTGTTTAGTTTAATACTAAGTGTTTGATGATAGTTCTCTGAGCAGAGAGGACGCACTGTGGAATCACAGCCCAGACTCCGGGGCCACTCGGCCTGGGTTCCAATACTGCCTCTGTCACTTTTAGCTAAGTAATCTTGGGCAAGAGACTCAACCTATCGGGGGCCTTCGTTGTCCCAACTGTAACGGGGATAACACTGATCACGTCATAGGCTTCTTATGAAAATTAAGGGAGTTAATATTTGCAAAGCCTTCAGGAACATTGTAGGTGTGTTTGCTGGTGAGATGACTGAAGTATTTACCAAGAGTCATGGGAGCAAAGAGGAAGAAATGACTAAATGTCCCTGGGGAAGGGGGAAGTTTTAGTGGCCTTGAAGGATGAGTAATGTTTGCCAGGCAGGGGTGGGGGGCGTGGGGAGGAGGGAGGGCAAGACATTTCGGACTGAAACAGCACGTGTTCAAGGTTCAAAAGCAAGAAAATAGAGCGAGGAGGTGACGGGGTGCTGAGTAGGATTCATGGGAGAAATGTCTCGGCCTGAGGCCAGAGTGAAAAAGGGACTAAACCAATTACCTGAGGAATGTGGACAGAGCCCGGGAGCCATCACAGAATTTTAAATGAGGGAATGATATGATTATGATTTTGTTCTAGAAAGGTCACTTCAGCCACCAAATGGAGATGGGCCGGGAGACAAAAGGAGGCTGGGGCGGTTGGCCAGACAGAAACTGATGAAGGCTCGAATTGGGGCAGTAACCAAAGGAAGAGCAAGCCGGGGCAAATGGGAGAGTTTTTTCTAAGGTAGAATCTACTGGAATTGGCAGCTAATACGACGTAGAAGCCTGGGGTTTCCATCCTGGGTAGCTGAAAACTGACATAAGGAATTGTTCAGGGTAGGCTGGGGAGGAGGAGGGGTTTGGCAGCAATCAGCAACCCGCACAGGCTGCGCCCCTGTGATGGCCAGTCGACGGCACCTCAGCTCCCTGACGCTCTCTCGTTTGGAACTCACCACAGAGGCTCATTCCCATTTTACAGGTACACAAACTGGATCTCCGGGTGGGTCAGAGCGTATGACAGAGCGGCAGAGCTGGGGAAAAAGAATGACTTTGGGGGAATTTCCCAGAGGTCCAGTGGTTAGGACTCCACGCTTCCACTGCCAGGGGCGCGGGTTCGATCCCTGGTCGGGGAACTAAGATCCTGCAAGCCACACAGTGTGGCCAATAAATAAATAAATAAACAGAATGCCTTTGGTCTTGCAGATGTTAAGGTCGAGATGCCATCAGGAAACGTGGATGGCTGTGCACAGAGGACAGGTAGAAGAATGTTCTGGAGTTCAGAGGAGATTTGGGGGTGAGGAATGGAGAAATTGGAGCCACCAGCGTGTGCAGATGGTCACTGAGTGGGTAAGATCACCAGGGCAGGGTGAAAGAGGAGGGCTGTGGGAAACGCCAGGATTTGAATGTCACACAGAGGCGTGGCTGTCAAAAACAGAAGTCCCACCAGGAGGGAGTGGATGTCTGGAAGGAGAAGAGGGTTGCAAGTAGGGTGTGAGCAGAAGCAAAGCAGAAGAAAGGCTGAGAGAAAAAAAAAGAAGAAGAAGAAGAAAGAAGGCTGCAAGTGAGCATTGCACTTAGCCCCTGGGAGGGCTTTGCCAGGGCAGTCTTAATGCCTTGTGGTAGGGGCAGAAGCCACATTGTCATGGTCAAGGAACAGACAGGAGGTGAGGAAGTGGGGGAGGGGTATGGACAGCTCCTCTCCGCAGAAGTCGAGAAAGCAGGGGCCCCCCGCCTGGGCTGCACGTTGGAATCACCTGCGGAGCGTTTTGAACTCTGCTGCTTGGGTGCATTCCGGATCAACTGAATCAGAATCTTTCCGGGGTGGTTCCCATGCATCCAGGTTTTGGAAATGCTCCACCTGGGATTCAGATGCACAGAAAGGTTAACAAGCAATGCTCACACAAGACCGTATGTTGTATCCCTCCGTTTATAAGAAACATCCAGAAAAGGCAAATTAAGAGAGACAGACATCAGAATA